TTTGCCGTCATAATGGATTACCATAACTTTACCGCGCATAGTAAATGATAGATAGTGAAATTGGCGTTGTGGCGGCCCTAGCGTATGTGAGTACTCACATAAAGCTCCACTAGTGCAGATTTACGTATGTAGCGTTTTAACGTCTGTTGTGAGGTGGATTACCTGCGTGTAAACACGCGAAGCCAAAATGCATGCTTTATCGATGACACATACCCATAGCGGAGTTAACGCACTTTGGCGTGTTTTGTTGTGAACAGCACTGGTAACAATGGACTGGATCAATGCTGAATTATGTTTTAAAAGGAAAAAACCCGCAGAATTTGGGATTCCTTTCCCCAATACCTCCGTTTGTAAACTTACCGGAATTCCCAAATCTTTTAAATGTGTTAATATGCGCACTGCCTGTTTGCGTTCCCGCCTTCATGCCCGCACGAACCCGTCTCCTGCTTGCGAGTCTTCGTCCCTCATCGCTTAGCCCATCGTCGTGCCGTCCGGACCATCGAGCATGACTTTGCGTAATTCCGTACCGAAGTCTGTAACTCATTTACAGACAGTGTTGTTGTCCCTTACCTGTTCCGAAGGGAACATATATCCTTCTATCTGAGCTATTCAGCATGTGGTCGGTTGTCGACTACTATTCATGTATGCTACCCCAAAGATCCCCTTTACGACGTCGGGAACAGGTACGAACCGGATACGAGGTCCCCAGCCCAGTAGTCTAGGTGTTACACCTTTCTGCACACCTTGGTCGCTTTGTCCACGTGTTTCCGATTAATATTTCGGATTTGGCAGTCGTACGGCCTGTCCAAGCCTATAATTCTGACGTTCTTATTTTCGCGTTCTCATTCTCTATGTGCCGCTGGTGTTTCACCTCACTCTGTGTCTTCGTGTGCATATGCATCGCATGCAAACTATCTTCATCGGAATCACTCTACGTTTGTAAAACTTAGCGTATTTCTAATGGTTGTTAGTGTGATTGAGGAACTCGCGCCTTCAGAAAAGCCAAGTGAGCCGTTGATCTGATTTCATGTCGGATACCCTACTGTTGAGTCACGCATGACGCTCTTTCCAACCGTGCGAATGGTTTTCTCTTCGTTACCTTCGACTTACAAGACGAGCTAGCCGTAGTCTGAGGTACATTTCTTGTGGGATCACAGGACAAACCTTCTAGACTCGAAATAAGGACAAGTGTGGTATGCTTGTTATAGGTCGTAGTTTAAACAGTCGGCACACTTTCAATATCGGACCATGTGAAACTTTCATTGCCACTAAACTTGCCGCCTATTCTCCATCAGACATTTTCTCGTTGAGCTATGGGCAGCGCGACCTCTAATTGTGTGTTCCCGATGCCATATAGTTTAACTGATTCAGTCGGCCCATCGTTGAAGGTTAGCATCATAAACAATCATCTCAGTTGATACGCTCTGAGTCAGGTCGAACGCCAGTTCCAAAAGTCGTACAGCCAGAAATCTACTCGAGGTCAGCTCTTATCATGTTCACCCACTTCTTCTGTTGACGTTGCTAGCTAGGGCAGCTTCCTGGCAGGAAGATGGCATGCAGTTTCGCCCTCGAGCTGGAATCGTACGCATCCGCTCATTCTCAACCGTCTAGCTAGTAGGATGCAGTTGGCGAGTTGGGTTCATAACCGACGATCTAGTTGTTTGCTGAATATGCCATTAGAGATCCGACTTCTGCGAGTTTAGCGCCAGCACCAGCTCATTAACACTTGAGTAACGAGTATATTTTAAACGAATGGCTACCATCTGATCCTCACAAAATGGTCTTTACGGAAGGCCTCGTATGCCCAAAGCCTATTTTATGTAATCTCAATCCGATTCCATGGGCGTCAACAAATTCCGTCAAAGGCCGCATTCACAAGGATGATTCGGTTTTAGGCCTAGTCCTTATTCTTTTCGTAGCAAATTCAGACTCATGCCGGAAGCTCTAACTTTCTGATGTTTCATACGATAACTCGCCTATCGTAATCGACGGTATGCCACATACGCATGAATTGAAGCCTGAGAAATCGGGTTCAGTTATGGTGTGCGCTTAAAGTAGTTTCGTCTACCGTCGTCTTCGACATCCTTTCCGTTTGCCTGAATTACAGGTTGGTTCCCTTTGTTTGTGCCTCATTCACGTGCCCTTCAAATGACGCGTTAAACTAGCTTCCTGTGCCTTCACATTGGTTATTTGTGTTGTGTCTTCATGGTAAGTTCGCCTCTTCGGGCAGCTTAATAGGAGTAAACTTTTCGACCGGACTCGTTCATACGGGACCATCTCTCTATCTGGGGATTAGACTTAAAGGTGGGGAAAGTAGGTATGGGATGCACGTCCGGTCTCATGTGTAATTGGCTGGAGTCAGACTTTCAATCGGTACCCTAGGGTAAGGGAGGGAGACCGAGTGTGCCCGACCCCGGGACGACTCATCGAGGTGAGATTTGAGTTACCGAAACATGTTTCGTGCGGAGTAAGGGCAAAACAGGTTTACCAGTGGATATAGTTGCTAGCTGGTCAATGCAACCACGGATGGCGGGTAGTGGAGCGGCCTTCAAAGGGAGTTAGTTGCTGGAAAAATCGGACCCTCGAGCTCAACGAGCAAGCCTTCACGGATCAGCAGCTACAGTGCCGCAAAGGCGCTGTGGTCATGCACGCCGATCGTCTCCTAACATTTCATAGAGCCCGGTTGCGACAATTTGACACCTGTACTAAAAATCCCCCAGGCCCTTCATAAAACTCCCCGACTTCAGTCTTAGGATCCGTACATCAGCGTTCACAGAAAATAATACGCACCGCAACTCTGATCTGGCAATGCGGATGAATAGTATGCGAGTCCTTGCTACTCATTTCGCAACGAGCCATTGGTGATGAATGCCGGAATGTGCACGCATCTCTTGCCCCCTGCACCCAGAATCCGACGGCATGCCGTTCTAACCGGTCCTACGTGGACATCTGCTGCCTGTCTAAAGCCAAAATCCCGGACGCAGGTTCTCCGAAAAATCGAGGTTGTGGAGAGTCAGCCCCCACATCACCCCTACGTGTACCATGTTTTTCTGAAGGGACCTTTTTACCCAGACAGCAGACAAGTCATCACCGCTAATTACAGAAATTCGTTCTTCTGCAGACTGATTCGTAGGAGGTGTCTGTAGGTAATAATCACCAAAGTCCTCAACTCGCAAGGTGGTTGAGAGGATTCTCGGGCCAAATCACCGGTGCTGCAATGGTCGGGTCAGCGAAAGAACCCCAAATTCACGTGTGCCGACAGGTCGAGTTATACCTCTCAAACTGCCTATAATGACTACAAAGTCAGCTAGAAACAAGCAGAGTTGTGGGGCTGTTAAAGTTGATGGTTCGACGAGGTTGGGCGTTGGCTTAAACACTTCGAACCCCCTCTTAACTTTGACGATTGATCCAACACCACCTCGTCCTCGCCCCTCGTCAACCACTTCCAGAACACTCAGCGTCATGTGATGTCCCTTCCCAAAAAATTGCTGTTATTTGTTATACTGAGGCTGCCTAACAATGAAGCGCCCACAAAGGACGGCATCTCCGCTAAGTTCTTGTCGACACTAGCGTCCTGGTTCCATAATGCGACCTGAAAAGCGTGGGAAGGTGAGTTCGCGTCTGATGACTGCGACTTGGCCATCCATGTGCCTGTCTTTAAGAAGGGAGCTAACACAAAGTATAAAAACTACCATAACACAGGTCTCATCAATTATGCTGCTGAGTTTTTCGGCATTGTCATTCTCAAGTCGTTGCAATATGTGTGGGACTCGAGTGCGAGGTTCAACTAAGCTCGATTCAGATCAGAAGGTGAGTGCTCCAGTCAAATATTCACACGTTGACTCAGTCTTAGACTACCATGACCAAAAATGACCGGCGGCCGTCTGTTCTGTTGATTTCGTCGCAGAGTTCGATTCCCTATATCGTATATCCCTCTGGGGGATAATCAAGGCAGGTAGTATGCCAGCAGAGTATCCGCTATGATCAGTCTCCGCTTTTTTGTTGCACCTCTGCGCGAATTTTTGTGATATGCATTACTCCAACCGTTCGAAGTTCAGTCTAGCGTTCGACGTAGTGTATACTATCATCCATCTTGTCCAACTGCGACGTTGCTTTAACTGGACAATTTAAACCCGGAAGCTGACTGACCGACGCCCCCTACGCCGATGATACCGAGGTGCTGGCGTTAGTCTAGGATGACATACAGAATGTATCGTCAGGGGGTAACTGAGGTCATCCGGTCGGGCGGTTTATCCATCAGCGTTTGATTAGCCGATGTTTTCGAGCTGCACTTCTGACCAGGATAAGACTTTCTTCGAGGTTAATTATTGTCTAGTTGAAAGAGTAGGCATTCTCAACTGTCCTTTAGTGAGATCGCTGCCGACGTCACCCGCGAGGTCTTCTCAGGACTGACTGAAGACTATCTTTAGAGTCAGGCCACCACAGAAGGACGGCTGGGGTGGTTCGGCCACTCAAAACCTGACTTAGCGCCGCCTGTTAAAACGCAGAGGTGCCTCGTAGACGTCCGATATTTGGTCTTCACTGTTGCAGGAGAGAATGAACCAAACCCTCTGGCTCTTCTGCCGAAGATCTTCACACCTGGAGATAAGATCTGCAACACATCAGCACTAGAAGTCTGTGGGAACAGCAGCAGATGCCGGTGGACTCTGTCCTGTAGTCAGGTCTGTAGGTGCCATCATTGCCTTAGAACACCCCGAGCACGGTCACTGTCGTTGCATTTACCATTTTTTGCCGCCATATGACACAAATATTCATTTTGCCTTATGATTTGGTGTTACAACTCATGTAATATGTATTTTTACCGTTCGTTCTTTGTTGGTCGATGCTCAAGTAATCCATACCTTCCTATCCTTGACAGCTGGTGATTTCTGATCATCCACAACTACAGTTGGTTTACCAGAGGCTTCTTTCAAATGGCACGAAAGGTGATTGGAACCCATAACGGCACTTTTCACTGTGATGAAGTTTTGGCAATTGCAATGCTTAAGCAACTCCCCGAGTACAAAGATGCAGATATCATTCGCACCCGAGAGATGGCAAAACTGGGCACTTGTGATATCGTTGTCGATGTGGGCGGCCTTTTCGATGCTTCCTCTCATCGCTATGACCATCACCAGCCGTAATTCGTTTAAACCCTCCCCATTTCTATACCTATCCGTTCTTAGGTCATTTAATCTTACCATAAAGGACTTCCATCCTCATCTGCAACCCGTCGTGAAACTGAGCAGTGCAGGTCTCATTTATGCACACTTTGGTAAACGGATAATTTCTGAGATTGCTGGCCAGTTGAATTTTGATGCGGACTTGGAAACGCTATTCAAACAGGTATGCTATTTGCGCCTCGGTGTTTTCGAAAACCTAGGTATATAAAATCTTTATCAGTGAAGTGGATGCAATTGACAATGGTGTGCCCATCTCAGACGGTCCAACAGCGTAAATCCTTTTGTTGATAATAATGCATTCAGCTACCAAATTTCAACTGGACTAAGTGGTCGAGTGGAACGTCTGAACCCAGCCTGGAATAAAGCAGAAGACGAATCAGTAAGTTGCCTTCAGGACTGTTTTAAAAAGTGTAAGAATTTAAAGAACTGGCCTGGAACCCTAGCCACTGCGCTCATTTTTTGTTATTCTCTTCTTATTCGGTCTCGCCTCATCAGCAGTTAGTCAGTGCCAACCGCAAGGATTCCGCTTTTTGCCCCTTTCCTTGCAACAGCCATCAAGTGGACTGTTGTGTAGGCCAGCGTGACGTCAAAAGCTGTTTGATTTATCGCAGTGCGCGCTCTATGACCGAAAACTAGGTTCTGGGCAGTCTTTACTCGGTCAGGACTTCATTCTCGACTGGTTTTACTTTACCCTGTCTGCCCATTTTTCAATTGACTACCATGACCGCAACGCGTCCGAACAGGAACTGAGGGCCATTTTGCCACGGAATAATTAGCCCTCAACTTGTCTGGAAGGGCAGACAAATTGTCCGAGACAACCAATTTTCTGCATGTTGCCAGCAACAGGTGGGCAGTAGGTTGCGCCATCCGTGACCCATTCTGTCAGCTTAAGTCGTTTTTAGTCAGCAGCTTTCGGAAGTCGTTTACAGCGTCTCCACTATGCGCCGGCCAGTCTTACTGGTTGGCTTGTAACCGGTGTGTTCTGCCCACCAGACGAAATGCCTTCTACATACTTTCTCAGTGTCGTAGCTTTTGTTCGAATCGAAGATAGAAAACCAAGCGTTTTTGTTATTTGAGGCCAGGAAGAATTGCTTCGAAATCAATGTTACGAGGGAGTTCGATGAACAGACGCCGAGTTCCCGACTTGTCTGATGTTTGTAGAAGATGCCAATCAGCCATTTCTTTTAAAACTATCTTTCCGATCTGTTGACGTTTTCCCTCACGATCTCGATGGAACCGGAGTTTGTATGCAGCGCTGTATTTCCTAGTTTCAGAGGCAAGGTTTGAATATGTAGGCTCACGGAGAAAATAAAGCAAAGGGACTCCTAAATATGGGAGGAATATCAATATTTGCTCTATCAGTAGGGCAGACAGACTCAGAGGTTAACGGAATCTGCGGAAGGCACTGAGAAAACTCGCGCTTCTGTTATGTCCTTGTTTTACTACCCCAACGGGGTGCCGGAGCAGACCGCGCAATCCGAAGGGAGCGAATCAGAACCTCTTAGCGGGCGCGAAATAAGCACACCAAGGTTGTTGGGCAATGGAGGCCGGGCTGGGTAAGACGGTATGCGGCGGGAATGCTTAACTTTTACTCTTCCCCCAATGTTTAACCTGACCCTAGCCCTAAATTTAGCCTTGCTCTTGCGTTTGTCCGGAAATTTCACCCTATTAATGCCTACCAGAAGCAAGTGAGTAGGCATTTTATGGCAATAAAAGTGTGATCTCACATATTCAATCATCACCTCCGAATATTCGAATTGAAACTTCTTCCCAAATCGTCGGGCATCCAGTACGCTTAGCCCCTCGTTCGCCGCCTTATCTAGTATTTACATACAAATCGGATCTTCACTACTACCAGTACGCTCAGCCACCCCTGACACTGACAGTTTTTGACTAGTGGATTTCATTGATCCGTACAACAAACCTGACAGTATTTGATCTCAGCCTCTGCTGTGAAAATATCAAGACACCAACAGAAGTATTAATACTCTATAGGGCCTACATCTGTCCCTTGAACTCGAGTTGTCTGCCTTTTATCTTCAGAATTTCACTTCATCATAATTGTCATATTCAGATACACTGAGGCTGCAAGCTAATTGCAGTTTTCGCATGAACTCTCCTCTGGACCTTTTGTTTCTGACCGTGTTCCACCCTGATTGCCATGGCCCCTCTACCCTTTCACAACAAACGTAAGCGTCGATAGAAGCGGTTAAGAAGGTACGATCGCTGGAACAGGAATTTTATTGGCCTAAGGTCTCGAGTTACCACTCAAACCCGTCATCAGATACAGTTGAACGCGGGTGCTGCTAATTATAGTAGACATGTACTTACATGGCAACCGCGCCTTATAAATACTGCGCTCCTTGTGCCGCTAGCACCCTTATCTGCGACTGTCTCTGATAATGGATTCGCGTGCGGATCCGAAACGTCAGGCCAGTGACCTATCAGCCATCGTACCTCCTAAGGCTTACCTGCAGTTCCATGGCCATGCGTGAAAACCCAAATAGTCCGCTGTATCGATTTCCAAAATACTACTGCCTACCACATCTTGTGTATACTTGTATTACGAAGAAACTGTTATGAGACCGACTGCCTGTAATTACTAACTCGGGCACTTTTAGAGCTGGGCGCTGATACACCCAATGCATCTGACAATTTGGAATGCCTGAAAGGTGTGCGTGGAAGGTATTAGAAACCGCCGGATACCTATACAACGTCCAGACAGGTGAAGAACAGACAATCGGAGTTGGCTAGTTTAAGAAAGCCAGATCGTCAAAATGGTATACCAGACAAACTTGACCCTAACCTTAATCGTTTCCATAACCCTATTCTTCGACTTGATCCTAACCCTAAATGTAGACATTTCCTCAAGCCTAACCAGGGAATTGACCCTAATATATAACATGCCCACCGAAAATCAAATAAACAGGCTTGTTGTAGTACTGAAAACACGGGATTACCTATTCAATCATTATCACAATCCTAATTTGGATGGTCCTTACTAATCAATTAAAGCTGTCCATATTCAAGTTTCCACCACCTTAGACTAAATGACCTCGTCAAGTACGGCAAATGATGACAGTGGAGTTGCCGCCATCACGCACCTATTGCGCTGTCTTTTTCCTATAGCCCTCGCCACGGGTCCTACACCCCGAACCCCTCCTTTGTTATTACGAGAGATTCCCCTGCGCTCTTCGCCGTGTTTTGCAGCAAGCCTTCTCCAAGGCCCTAGCCCTGGTAACAAGTGGAGACTGTCCAGCGTTTGGCAGACGTGTGGCTACCGGCTAAAACCCTCGTGGAGAAGTGCCTACAGTCGCGCTTCTCCGTCCATCTCTCAGGACTGACTATGCACCTGACGCCCGCCGGTTGCCCCTGGAAGGAACACTTCTTCGAACTGGAAAAAGAGCTGAGTGTAGAAGAGGACGCCACGCTGGAGAAGTCGCATCTACCTTTCAGTAAACGAGCTGTCTTCCTCGTCACTGATCGCACTAACGACTTCTCCGTCACCGCAATTCCTGTCTCCACAGATCAACCCTTCTCACAGCGGTAAGTCGCTCTTGGTTTCTAGCCTCCACTGGTTTCTGCTGGACGGGGTGCCAGTAAATGTGTGATGGCTCTGTCCGGCGCTAAGCATGACCAGCTAATGTCGAGCATTGGCCGTTTAGGCATGCACACTACATCGTGGGTCCCTATGGCGGATAATGGTGCTAGATGATGTACTGCCAAAAATCATCGTCACGGTGAAGGCTTATTATCGCTGCACCACCATGCGAGTCCCGGTCCGCAACAATCTTTCCCAACCGTTCAGTATTCGGTCTGACGTTCGACAGGGTTGTATCCTGTCGCCTATTCTGTTCAGTTACACTATTGACTGGGTTCTCGGTTTGGCCCTACACGAAGGCGACGGTGTTGAATTTGCACCCGGACACTGACTGACTGATCTCAACTATGCCGACGATATTGCCTTCAAGTTTTAGTAATCTGCAGTCCATGGTGTCACGGGTGAACGAGGTCGCTAAATCGGTCGGTTTATCCATAAACGGTAGGAAGACTGAAGTGTTTTCAAGTCGCATCCCTGACCAGGAGAAGGCACCTCTTGGCATTGACGGCAGTCAACTTGAAGAAGTAGACAGTTTTAAATACCTCGGAGGTTGTTCTCGGACTTTCTTTCTCAACATTGCAATTCCTCAGCCGCACATTGACCATTTTATTTACTGATTATATTCCAAATGCGATTTTCAGGTAGCGCGAACGACGTGGCCGATGTAATTGGTCTGGTGGGTTTGTAATGGGTCTGTTTGCGAACGACGTAAGCTCTTCTTCGTCGTCAGATGCTGATGCGTCCGATGCTCAGTCCGCATTGTAGCGGAGGTGGGTGGGTTGCTGCTGACGCAGTATTACGTTTGCCTTCTTCCATTGCGCCAATGCTTGACGTTGCTTCCACGACGTCTATAGGGTTGGGAGACAACTTCAGAGGCTGTTACGAGCGTCAGTTTTCCACACGCATTGAAACAGATCAGATTTCGGCATGCTGTAACGCTAAGTTTGTTGACTTTCCGTCCATATGTACCAGGACCTCGTTGGTCTATTTAAACAAGCGGCTGACCTCACAAAATTTGTATGATCCTTTCATGTCTTATAAATTCATTCAAATTGAATAAACAAGGCCTTGGCCTGATGATTTACACAGGCACGGAACGTCAGCGGCATTATATTGGGAGAGGAGTTAATGGCGGCTCACTGAAAAGTAGTGAGCCATTGTCTGGCAGTCAGTGGTTGACGTCGAAACTTAATCCCCCCGAGTAGTGCCACTGCTATCGAGCAATCTCGATGCTGCTGAACCAGATGTCTAGAAAAGACAAAAGACTAGCCGTTCCGAAAAGTCTGTTGAGCCATTTAACTAGAAGGAACGCAAAATATCCAGGAGTTGCGGGCATATTTCTTTGAACAGCAGGCTGCGGGCATTAACTAATGCTCAGGATTCTCCGTTGCATGGACGATCGAATCGCTTTTTGGTGGTATTCCGTAAGCCACTACTATTCCTTCATTCATAATGCCATACAGACGAATAAATGAGGTTTTGAGGAGAATTAAAAAAACTGGATAACAACGCATGTCTCACCAGGGACGAAAGTTTAAGAGTGACAAACCAGGCCAGCCAATGCGCTGGTCAGAACGCTGATAGGGCTGCCAAAATTCCCGCCGTGTCTACCTTGGATCTCCGTTGTTAATCAAAACCTGATCACGAGTTTTCCGGAAGTTCTTTGGCTGCAAGTTGGGCTGAAGAATGTTCCTGCTCATACTTCGAGCCTGGTTGCCTAAATGATTGCCGACCTGTTGCCGAATTCTGTGATCAGATTGGTTTCATCCCCCTCACTTGATGTACTTGCGTCGGCATTGAATTTTATAATCTACTTTTGTGGACATTTTAGGACTTTGCACACCGTTAGCATGTAAAGCAAAAGAATGTCATTGGGGGGGGGATTTATTTTGGTAACACTGAGTCAAATCCGGGCTAGCATACCATAAAACTCGAAGAAACCAGCCAACAGATATATCTTACCAAAATTGCATGAGACGCACACCATCCGAACAGAGAGTACTGATAATAATAACATTCTCCGCATTTAACAAACAAACTACTCTTCATATTTGTAGCAAGCCGAAGTGATGATTCACAATTAGCACTTTATACGTGCCACAAACGTCATGATGATAAGTACTTAGTACTCATTCAATATAGTCTCTGGCCATTTGATTTTAACCTACGCAACAGCCCGAACCTACTTGCTGCGGTCTTACAAAAAGGCGGAAACCCGTATGTGAGTGGGCAAAAAAGTCAAAATGCAAGATATACGGGAATACGTATTCGGGAATATTTCTACCCAATCTATTGTCTTCAGACGACAATGTGACGTCAGTAATTCTTTCGCATATTTGGTCACTGATTCCCGAGTATAAATTCCGCATGACAGGTTAAAACAGGGTAGATGTCCGGTTGAAGTACCTAGAAATTAATTCGCCGGAATATCCGCCGCTGCAGAATTTGCTGTACCAAAAATCCTGTTTGAACTTATGTGAGGGAATTAGATGCCGAATGATTCGTAGAAGAGCGTCACAATAAAAGTAGAAACGATGTTTCATTTATCCGTAAAATAAAAAATATAAATTAGGCAAGACAATTCAGGATATAATTTACCTGTTGAATATGGTAGGACAATAATATATTTGTGTTATAGAACTAACAAAGGTCATGGATAATTAAGAGATAAACAAACGCGAGCGACAGGATTACACGACACGTACGGGAGTGATCATTAGTACATCTGGCAGCACACCACATAATACTGACGCGCACTTTTCTTTGTACCTATACCTTTGTGCAGAGGCTCATTTCAATTATATAAATTATAATGGGTTCGGTGCCACTGTTTTAAACATGCACCTACTTAGCACGTGTTTTAACCACATACATATGCTTCCGTTTTGCTGTCCTGATTTTATTAACTTTTTACATATATTTTATTCGGATTTAGACCCATCCACACCCACTCCTCCCCCTCCTGCCGGTATGAATATTGCTTGCTTTGTGAATTACGAACAATTAAAATTACGTTTTAACATGTTGCACACAAACAATTTTAATTCCCGAAAGGTGAAAATGCGTACCAATGTAAATGGCGGTTCACAATTAGCGCTACATATGTGCTGCCAATACAGAATCGCAAATCAGTCTGTATGTTTGACAAATAGGTCGATCTGTATAAACCCAGACGAGGACTTCAAATGATCACATCGGCGCTCCAAAATATTTAAATACTTAACTTGCAGGAAGCGCACATGAATCAACTTCTAAGGGAACGTGCCAAATAGGGTATTTGGTTTTGGATAGAAACATCTGTTCATAGTGGTTACGTACATTAGATGTGCTAACTCATGAAATGTCAACCAACATTTCGAAATGCGTTCTCGTTTCGAAAAGATAAATTAAGTAGTGTTGTAAAACTAATCACGATGCAACATAAATCTATAATGATCCGATTACCTCAGGGTGTCGGCTTTCGAAAGAACTTATTTTCGGCCGCATGCAAGATCTATACTCCGCAAAAAATGACCACTTATGTAGTATGCAATTTTCTTATTGATTTTCGATGCCCTTGAAAAACAATTATATTTCAGGGAAAACATGCATAAAAATATTCATTCCTTTACTTATTCGGTAGAAACTCACGTCTTCATCCAATTTCATACTCAAAAGAAGAGTTTTGAAAAAGTTTCTAATTGTGAGATTTTTTAATACCGTTAAATTGCCGTTCATGAAACGCCATGTATCTGTATTTACGAATGTTTCTTGTAAAGTTAACAATATTGCTCAAATCCACTGCTTAATTATATGAACCTCATATGGTCTCCTCTTAACACCGTAGAGAAATGCATGCAATATTGTTAACTTTACGAGCCACATTCGTGAACGGCCATTTAACGGTATTAAAAAATCTCACAATTAGAACCTTTTTTAAACTCTCTTTTGAGTATGAAATTGGAAGAAGACGTGATTTTCTACCGAATAAGTAAAAGAATGAATATTTTCATGCATTTTATCCATGAAATATAATTGAATTTTCAAGGGCATCGAAAATCAATGAGAAAATTGCATGCTACTTAAGTGGTCATTTTTTGCAGAGTATAGATCTTGCATGCAGCCGAAAATAAGTTCTTTCGAAAGCCGACACCTTGAGGTAATTGGATCATTAAAGATTTATGTTGCATCGTGATTATTTTTACAACACATCTTAATTTATCTTTTCGAAACGAGAACGCATTTCGAAATGTTGGTTGACATTTCATGAGTTAGCACATCTGCTGCATATGCCAACCAACTCAGATGTTTCCGTTGTTTTGCGCAACTTCTTGTATGTCGCATGTAGCATCATAGTGTTTTTGAAGGCGTTTTCCATAATATTCCGTCTAGTAGAAAGTTAGAAGTAGAGGAGTAAATATCTAAAAATAGGACCTTGGCTACAAATATACACAACGACGTCTGGTTGGCGCGACTTGTTTTTTACTGCCAACTGAAATAGTCCCTTGGACCGCCCACCACCTCAGTGAGAATTCCACGAAGGCCTCATAAGGCAGGAACCATTGAGCCTAACTCTCACACTTGAGAAGGTTCCTGCTATTTTGTCAGCTGGTCACATTCCAGGTCACGAGTCTTGGCGCGTCGTGATAAATTACAATGTGTCCGGTTTATTAGAATGAGGAATGTTTTGATGTGCCATGGGGTTGGATTCCTCGGTGTCGATCTCAGTCTCTCTTTTTCCTGCCGCGTACCAGTCCACTGCTTGCACGGGACAGCCCTACGCAAAGACCACCAAAAAGCCTAAATTAGGCGACTTCTACCATTTTCCAACTAGAAGCCTTCCCAGCCAAATTTGGAACCCAGGTGTTAGTCAAAACGCAACCAGGTGATTTGTTGAAACTCTTTAACTGCAAGGTGTGCATGCTCATAAGACAAGCCTAGTTGGGAGGATGATCCCTGATATGTTGCCGAATTCCAGAACAGACCCGACTTCATTTCTCTTACTCAATATAATTGTGCTGGCATTGGTTACAGATTTTTACTTCTGTAGGTGTTGAAAGGACTCTCCACACCGTGACTATGCGAATAAAATATGAATTTATGTTGAAAGGAGTTTATTTGGGCGTTAGCGGGTCAAGCGCAAGATGGCGCACAATGCAATATGAGGAAATCAGCCAAGAGGGCAGTGTCCATAAAAACTGCCATAAACTGTCCATAAAAACTGTTTCTCAAAGTTCCTTTCCAAGGGGACGCTGCGAGTAAACTCCTAAGGAGACGCCTTGATCAAGCTGTCTCGCGAACCTTCCCAGCAGCAAGGGTTCAAATATCATTCTCTACTAACCCGATTTAACG